CAATCCTGATCCTATTCCTTAATTATTTCATCTTCTGACAATAATCAAATCATTTGAAGTCTAGACCAGTAATTACTTCCTATAGTAATTCAATTTAAACCAGTAAGTAGTAATAGACCAGTAGTTCAATTTAAAGAAAACGAATTTTGAATTGGAACCACAAACAACTTCACAACTTGATATGACAATAATATTGTAACTTGGAAACGTTAACTATCAAATATTAAACGTTAAATTCACAATATTGTACAACACTCCTCCGGAAACGTGACTTTCGCCGGAATAATTGAATTTGAATAAAAGCTCACGAACTTATGCAACAACCCAATAACCGTGATAATAATAACAATAACAAAATGTGGATAATAATAACAGTAATAATAACGCTAATAAGTATTCACGGCAACTAATTAATTACTCGGTTGTGTTCGGTAGGCCTGCTCGCCTAGCCAGCGGGGTGGCGTAAATTGAGGCTAAAACATTGTGCACGGAAACACTGCGAGCATGTGACCAGCAACCTTACAAACGTTTGATGACAGCTTGGCCAATCCACATAATCCAAGTAATAATGCTAATATTAATAACAAAAATAACAATAATAATAACAAAACGAACCAATTTCCTCGTCGAAGGCTGCATTTTGAGGAGTCTCAAGCCGACAATCCTTGCGAACAACATCTCCTCATTATTGAACCAGTCATTAATCGAAGGCGTGATCGAACTCGATGGTGACTGAAGTATGTCATTCGACTGTTGCTGAGTCTGTTGCTTCAGTGATCTTATCAACTGATTACTCAACGAGTTATTATTCAGATTGTTTCGGTGGTTGTTCAATATCGATGCCAGCGATTGCGCATTCGTATATCGATGTTTGTTGTGACTCTTGTTAATTGTTCGCGTCCGACATCGATTCAAGTTCAGTGAATACTTATTATTACTGCTCATATTATTATTATTGCTATAGGACGCGTTCGAGAAAATGTCCACATTGTCCAGAAAACCAGCAGTTATGTTGTTACAATTTATATTTGATAGATCTGGTGAGTTCGGTGATTCCATGATAATATTATTGTTACAATCGTCTCCTCTTTCATTGTTCAGATCATCATTCTGAAACAAAAAACTGAATTAATTGAACAAATCACCACCATAAACAACATTTATTTCTATCAATTACGCTGTGAAGTTGAAGCGAAAAACCTTTTTTTCGACTGGAACTGCATAAAATCATCACAAAATATCAATGAAATTTTATGAAAACGATGGAATAAAATCAAAAATTCGTTTAAAAATTCAACGAAACCGAATAATGAAACAAAACCAACGTTCATTTTCGGATGCGCACGAATTGTCTCAGGCTGATTCAATCGATTCGTATCAATAACCGACGAATGCTTATTACTGCTCAGATTATCATTCGATCCAGTAGATGACATCAACTGATTATCATTAATATTATCATTATTCACTGATGACGACGATGATAACGATACTGACGATCTGCTGTTGAATTGCATTTCCGATTGCTTCGCGTCAAACTGTTTCGATGCTACGCCGTTTGCGTTCTCAATCGAGAAGACATCTGCATTTCATTCAAGTTACTTCATATCATGCCTCACAACCTTCTTACATACACCCTTCATCCGTAAAAATAAACGTAAAAATGAAAAAATTATTAGAAATATGTTTCTTAAAACAAAACGTCTGATGGAATACGAAACTTCAATTACAACCGTTACCACCTCATGTAGGCAGAAATGAAAAAATGAACAAACTATTAGGAATTTATTTCTCGAAAACAAAACATCTAATGGAATACTAAACTCTAATCACAACCGTTACCATCTCACGTAGGTAGTCAGTGTTAACGATAAGGTTTTGCCTCTACATAATCATATCACGTATCATAAATTGCGCAAATAATCTCATAGATCCATCCACTGATCCAACATTATCTCACATAATTCACGTTAAAATCGTAATCAAAAATCAAATTAATCAAGAAGAACGAAACAAACTTTCAAACGCGTTACCCATATTATTGTCAGTGTCATGATTTGTGTTCGATGCCACTGAAGAAACGGCCGTTTGATCGTTCGCTAATTTGACTTCAGTGGCTGCCAGAACCGATTGTATCGTTGATAACATCGGCTTGACATCGTCCAACGAATCCGATTCGGTTGTATCCACCGCTGAAGAATTGTTCATCGTTGACAGTCGACAGAACTAAGCAAATTCCCTAACGTATTCCCTAAAGCTTCCTTCTTCCTCAACAAATACCCATCCAAAAAATTAACTCTGAGGAAATTTATATCCCCTTCCCCACTAATTCAAAGATTCGCTTGTTAACCGTTAAGAAACTCGAAAACTCATGTCCGTTTAGAGTGCCTAAATGAGAATAATAAAATTGCAAAGGAACGATATAACGAACGAATACTAGTCTGTGCATGTGCCATTAGATCGGCTGCATAATCGGCCAGCGAGGATGAAGCTGATGCTTGGGACGAATTGTGAGTTTTAAATAGCTCGTCTAGACACGACAAATTGTTCATATTATCCAACGATGACGAGGACGATGCATGTGCGTCTGCATTTGCTGTCATTGGCCTGAAATTGACAAAATTTTAACCTGAAATTCAGAAAATTTTTAAATGAAGTTGACATCAACAATAACAATAAAAGTAAATAAATGACACGTACACATTGCCTTGAAGATGTGGGTCGAGCCACTTCAGAAGCGCAAAATGATTCCATTTTTGAGGTTGTGAGAAATTCTGTGCAATCGCAATTTTCAGCTCTTTTCTGTAACGATCACGCAGCTGTAGCCATCGTTTCTTGGCGAATTCGGCTGAAATTTTAGCTCTGAACAATAATAATCCTTAGAAACTGTCTTTACTCTCGATGTGGGCGCAGGTCAACTGATTTCCATGTTATTTTATGTTGCGCAGACCTTTTCCATTTCTGACCAAACATTCTGACGAATGGTTCATCCAATCGTATTCGAGATCTGCCTAGGGGCCTTTCCACTCCTCTTGGAATCCACTGTGTTATTCGACTAGTCCAACGGTTATCATTCATTCTAGCTATACGCCCTGCCCATCTTCTTTTACTAATGTATTTATCGTTATTATTTCTCGGCATTAAAATGACCGAGAAATAATAATAATAAAATAATAAAAATAATAAGTAAACAAAATAATGATAAACGAATATTCGTAAACAAAACCACTAACGTGATACGTCCCGTCCGATCCTTTTCGCCACTTCCTTCCAGATCAGTTGTCGATCGACACCGTCATACGGTCTTCTGGCAGTACTATATAATGCCGGATATTCCCGGACTGTATTGATCAAAATCTCGTTGAATGACGGCTCACCAGGCGGATTCAGATCCGATTGTGATCCTAAAATATCTTTTTATCAGTCTTATTCCTTGTAATCCAATCAAAATAGAAATCACCAAATATTTTTATGGTACGAACGGTTCAACCGAACGAAAGCCGAGGACAGGAACACTCATTGAAGTCGATTTTTAACGACTTAATTACAGACGCATTTTAAGAAGTTACGAAAAAGAAATAAGCAAAAAAAAATTACTAGTCGTCGACATCGTTGCATTAGTGGCCGTGGTGATGCTGTTGCTTTTATTTTTATTCGCTGATGATGTATTAATGCTGCTCGTGGTGCTTTTATTATTGATATTTCCATTAGAGGTGTTCATTTTCGAGTGTCGATTCACGGCGCTTACATGAATCATTTTCATTGATTCAGTTATTAGTCAACTAAATTAAAACAATCATTTCACTCATTATATTTTGATCAAATCACAAGAACGTCACACAACAGAACGACCAACTGGAACTGGAAAGTTTTAATCACTCAAATTTGACGAACTGGCTCAAGCATCAGATCAGATTCAAAATTAGACCACTAACGTCTACGCTCAGGTTTTGCGTTTAGTTCTAGCCTTAAACTTAAATTGCGGATACTGTTTCAATTAAGCAATCTTATTCGACACCTACGATACTTAAACAGAATCCAGCAGAATGTCACGAAAACAGCGAATTAATACCATTTTCAAAACAGAAGAAGAATAATTTAATAAAACAATACAAATAACAACAACAATAGTACAACAATAACAACAATATCACTTAATAAATACATTTAAATTTAAGCAAATTCAATCGGAATTAAA